GTGAGGTTTTTGGGTTAAGCAAAAAATTTTTTTGAGAAAATAATTATATTTTCTCTCGTGTAGGAAGACTTATATGAAAAAAAACAGTTTGTGTGTCTGTGTGTGTGTGTCGGGGCCAAAAAAACATCAGGGTAAAAAAAAATTCCACCTTAGAAAATTTTTCTTTCAAGGCTGACTAAAGTAAATCGGGGTCCGGGAATCCGAATCTGAAGTCAGATTTTGAAAATTTTGAAGTGAGTTTTTTGAGAAAATAACGATATTTTATAAAGGTTGACGAAAGTGAATCGGGGTCGGGGAATGCGAATCTGAAGTCAGAATTTTAAAATTTTGAAGTGAGGTTTTTGGGTTAAGCAAAAAATTTTTTTGAGAAAATAATTATATTTTCTCTCGTGTAGGAAGACTTATATGAAATAAAATAAATTTTTGTCTATTATTGTCAAAGTAAACGATGAAACGTCATTAAAAAACCTTGCACAAGTTTTTGGTGCTCGGGTTTTTAATATTGGGCTTTTCATCAATTCTATTTTTCAAACTGAATATTCAGTTAATTCGACATATGCGATAAGTTCTTCCAGAATGAGCTGTTTTATAACTAGGTTTCCACGGATGAGGCTTGTTTTCAAAGAGGCCGATCAGTTTCTTCGACTTGTACCATTCAAGAAATCAAAGTTTGAGTCAGTTATGGTGACGAGGCTAGTAAATCGGTTCTTTCGATACTCACATGCACAATGTACTTTTCTTAAGCAGTCGAGGGTGAAGTGAGTCGAACCGACGAACGTTACTTGTGAATTATGAGTGATGATCCATCAGATATGATTTTTTGTAAAATTTGATGAATATAAGAGAAAGATGTTATATTTTCTAATCGAATTATATGAGATTTATTTTGGCAAACAATTTTAACTTTTTCAAATTTGAATAAATTTGATCTTGTTCACGATAATTATGCAATAGGACACAAATGTTTTCTGTTCGAATAAATTATGAAAAGTTTTTTCAATTATAAAGAATTGAAAATTACTTCTAGTTATCTTATGAGAAAGATGAGTGTCGATGGGGAATGTTGATTTCAATTTTTTTCTTTGAAGTAATTCTCATTCCCAAAATAAATCAGAGTCTGATAGAATGATAGGCGTTAAACAGAGCACGATATAAAAAATTCTTTTTTATTTCTCTTTTTCGACTTATTCAATCATCATCTATCAATAACATACCTCGACGCCATATTTTTTCATCTTAAAATCAGAACAATATAAACATTAATTGAAGCTAACTATATCGTAAAATTAACACATTAGCCTCTAAAACTATTCGAGCAGTGTTACTGATAAAAATTACTCTAGAAATCGAGTGTAATCTTGATAGATATAACAATAGTACGCTCAGTTTGATCAGAATGACAAATCTATATATAGGGGTAGTTTGATGTCTATAGTAATCTACAAATCAGAGAGGGTAACGGAATGATTTCAAAATCTTCACCTTCTTCCTCCTCTCTGACAATATTAGCTGGGAAAGGTATCGTCGATTTCATTTTAGTCAAATAACTTCATAGACGATATGTATCTTATGAAAAAAAAGTCGTTTTCAAACTTTACATATACTTTTGACATAAATGTTTTAAAATTAATTAGTTTTATTCAAGTAATTCTCTAATTAGTGAGAATAATTAATCGATATGACAAATTTTTTTTTTGACAATAGTGACTGTAGTGAAATTTACAAATAATACAATCATTATATATGTAATTATTTTCTTTCAGAATTCATTTTTGTACTACTACTGTTCCTCTCCCACGTAATTATAAAATTTTGTCAAAATCATTCAGTTTAATGATAGATATACAGATTAGTATATCATACACAATGCTTCTCCGAAAAGTTTATTGCCTGTGATTTAAATTTTTAAATATTGTCTATAAGTTTTGTGTTTTCTTGAATGTGAGTTCAATTTTATCTCAATGAGGAGAAGAAAAGCACAAAATACGAAGTGAATTAAGAAAAGAATTCCGCACTCAATATGGCTCTTTACTACTTGGTTCTTCTTTACGGAAAAACAGAAAGAGAAGATTGAACATTAATTCTGTACCGGCCTGAGAATTGTTCATGGAATGTATGTCTGAGATGATTATACAACTCTAGTTATAACAAGAGAAAGATCTATATATGATTTTCTTTTTGTATACTGGAGAAAATTGATGCATCATCTGATGTCATCACCTGAAGCTCGTGCATTTCAACAAAATGTAAATGCCTATCTATTGTTAACTGATGTTAATAGATGCTGGACAAAGGAACTGGGCTTTAGAATGAACAGTAGATTTTTTTATAGCGTGTGGGTGCGGGTGAGTGCGGGTGTTGCTGTGGCCGAGGGTGGTGGCTGTGGGTGCGAGTTGATTCAATAAAAGTCACAGCCACAGCCACAGCCACAACCACCCACACTCACACGCACACCTACACCCAAACGCACACCCCACACGCACACACACATCCACACCCTTCAATGAACGATTTTTCAGTAGACTGATATTCAAAGGAATTCTGACTGCACTCTGCCAACGTTTTCGGAATCCTGAGGGAAACAGTTTTAACTAGAGAGCTAAAGATATCAGATAATATTTATCTCAACTATCTTGTAGAACATATTCACAGCGCGACTCATTCTGACATATGGCTTCATCTTTACATCTTTTCATGTTTGATTGTGCCACAAATTCAGTCTGAAGTGTTGTTATTTATTTTGACGAAAATTGTTCGGGATTAAAAACTAGAAAATGTTGTAGACAGTCCTGTATCACAATATTTTTATATTGTGTATCTGTCAAGTTTTCCTCTAACAACTGCTGTTACAGCAGCTTCTTCCATTGAACCCATTTCTCTAGTACCATCTGAGTACGGACCAACAGCGTTTTGTGAATAACTATTGAATCCAAGTGAGCCGTCATCTTTTAAAGAGAATCCAGATACAAAACGAAACTGTTTTGAATCACCATAGATCCTATAATACCATTGATGTAGTTGTTCGTGCTGTGTACCACCGTTTTGTGTATAGCCATAACAATTTTCACAAACAAGTAGCACAATGTTTTTATATGATGTATGAATAGGATATAAGACGAGACCTGTTTTTCGTCTTTGACATGAACAATTATGTGATGACCAACCATAAGTATTTGAGACGAGATGTTGTTGGCCATTTTTATTCTTTGCCCGGAGAGAACCATCCCAACCACGATCTACTGAATTTGCGTGAGCGACATGGTCATAGGGTCTAACAAATAATAATACACGTAGCATTTGTTTTAGAGAAAGAACGTATAAAATACTAAGAGGACGGAACGTTATCGTAAGGAGAAGTATTCATTTGTTTTAATGAAAGCATAGAAAAGAAGGTTTGTACGATCAAACATCGCACTCTAGAGAAACTTCGTATTTGCATGGAGATCTTTTGACTCATGAGCAGCTTCACTTACATTTCGTTGGATATTGAATTGCCCATGAAACTATTATTCTTTGTGTATTTTCAAATTAAGTTTTGCTGCTGCTTTCAATTGCTCCTATATTTATACCCCTTAGCATGAGGGTGTGGGTGTGGGTGTGGGTGTGGGTGTGGGTGTGGGTGTGGGTGTGGGTGTGGGTGTGGG